GGTTTCGAAAAATCTTAATAATTAGCTCGAAAGGTCAGAATAGAAACGGTAATGAATAATTGAATACCCTACTTTTTAATAGCCAGCCACTACTTACCTATTTGAAAAGGTTATGATTTGAATTTTAAATGAACTATTTGTTGTTTGTGTTACTAAGATAGCGGGGATATATTCGAATCAAAAGGATTTCATGAATAACGTAATAAATCTATGTATTTTAAAGGACTTAGGGAGAGGTGAACTTATACAATATTACCGTGTAGGTATTTAGAACATAGCAGTGGTGTCTGATTAACCTAAACCTTTTCATCCAGGCCAAACGTAAATACCATGACATACCCCACTCACATAAGTGTAGCCTGTATACTACATAGGAGAGACATTTTTGAAAGGAAAAACCATTCAATGACTGCTACCACCTTGGGTGAGGCGAGAGGGAGTGTCAGACTCTTACTGACTAAAAACCACTCCGTTTCTACTCCTGCTCTTTGAGCCTGTCGCCGGCAACCTGTCAATTCCTCGGCGGCTTTGCAGTAAAGAAGAGACTACGATCAACAGCCCATCGTTCGTTGTCATCACGTTGAAAATGATACATCATATGTAGACAAAAACGGGTTAATAATGATAGAAGATACTGTATTTAAGCCGAACATGTAATATAGCTTTTCATAATAACTATCGTGAGACATACTAAATTAACTAAAATCTAGGGTTACTCACGTGAATATACTGAGAAAAGCTCTACTAGTTTCGAACCACAGAGGGGTTCTTCATCATGAGCAGCGTGCGTGGTCGCGGCGACGTCACGCAGCTCACTGACACTCACAGTGATTTTAGTTAATGTAATATTGCTTACAACTTATATACATAAAAAATAAGAAAAATTTTACAGCACTACCTGTTACCAAGCCATATTTTACCCGTGAAGCGAAAACCGAGAGATTAAAACTCTTGTCTGGTAGCACGGTTCATTAAAATCCCGTCTCGTATAGAAAATTAAACCGGCTGCGTTAAAATTTTAATGAAGCATTATTTCCTTGTGGAAAACTTAATAGCGCGCTGTGATTAACGTTGCTACTGAAGATGTTTGCTTTGCTTAAGTAAATAGATACTTTCTAAGTTAGCGTTCTTTGGGGGGTATTGACCCTCCAATACATTGGTATTGAGGGCTTGTATGGATGTAATATCAACAAATTTTTAGATCCCAAATCAAGGTAGTAAAATGTTCATTAAATACACTTTTGCTTCGAGACTCATTGCTTCATTGAAATAAGCATAATTTTGCCGGAATTACATTATCGGTTTTTATCGTTGCCCCACACTATGATCTACTCCTGTATCGTGAGTGCATTGACTAACATAAAATTTTAACTATATATGACACCCAGAACCGAAAAAGCAATTTGTGGATCACTCAAAGAGTTGCTCCGTGAATCGAACCCGCTACACGTTGCACGACAGCCAATTGCTAAAGTCAAACTTGCAGTTTAGTGATTAAACCTAACTACAATCACTCCGGTACATAGTCCACTAATACTGCAATTAGCAAAAATGGATTCCCCGTACAAAACATATCAAGTATCGATATCACCGTTGATTCATTTGAGCGGCCCATTAAACGCGATTTAACTGAAAAAGCCAGCCTTTTAAACTGAACTGATACGGATTGCAATCAATCGTGCCAATGAAAATATTTGCAAGTACACTGATACTGACTATTAACGTGCTTTAAATTGAACACAGGTTGTTTTTCATCGAGTTATTTTCGTCGGCCGTGTTTTATATTCATACAGATTGCAGATTGTATAAGCTGTACTTCGAAGGTCTCTGATTAAATCCTGGACTCGATAAAATATATTAGATGGAGTCTGGTATTACGGCAATGTCTTTGGCAATGCGTAGAGATGTAGCCTTGTTGTGCATCTTCCATCGCTTACACCACTGACAGTGCTTTGTCTTTTGTCTACTTCAGTTGTACATTGATATATCCATCCCCATCATATACATGATTGGCAGGCGCACAACAGGCCACAACTGTGCGCTTCTCTCATAGCTCTCTGCCCCGCACAGCAAAACTGTGGAACGATCTCGTCTCGATCGTCGATGGTATTTCCGACACACTTTACACTTTACAATGTCATTTTTTATGCAAACACATAAAAAAATCAGGAAATACACAAAGGTTGGTAGGTCCAACCTTTAAGGAAAAGTGTATTTCCTTTTAAAAGACCGACAACGCATTTCTGACTGACTCCTCTGGTGTTGCGTGTGCATAAAAAAATTACATTGTCATCATCTTCAATAGCCTGTTCTCGTCCACAGCTGGACATAGGTCTGTCCAATAGCACGCCACGGAGCTTGATCTTCAACTCTACGCATTCCGTCCCAATCAGACTAATTTAACAGTGTATATTGACCAAAATCACGAAATGTTTGGACCAAACTAAAACTCTTTAGAGAAAGACATTTAATTATCAAACCTTTATTAGTAGGTACGTCTTGTGTAGCGATGAAACAATTATTATACGATGCAGTGATAAAATATCTTATTTATTCATCATCACATTGACGTAAGCACATAAGTAGCTACTATTTACTCCACCCATCTGCAAAAAAATTATCGTGTCACAGTTTTCAAAACAAACTGTATAAATAATTACATTGTATACTTCATTCTGATACATAATTTTGTACACGCAACTAACTTTGGCATTGTTTATGTATATCGTGAACGAAAGGCCAGTTGTACCATGCAACGTTAAATAACGGACAGGTTAAATAAACTGAGCTTCAAAACCGACGATTTGCTTGCTTTGTATTGTTTTCTTTCGTGATGGTATTAGGTCATCGAACATGTGTTTGTAGGTAGGTACTACTTATGCTTGAAGTCTCGATTATAACTGAACGAAATACATTTCTTAGTAATCACTCATTTTTTTACTTTTAAAATATCAATGGGCAACAAACATTCCGAAAAGGACATCTTGCCAATAATTCTACTCTGCCTTCTCTGTTTATTATTATAAGTCACATTAAGAACTCTGAGGACTATACTACGATTAATTTGGTTGTTGATTTATATTCTCCAAAATAAAACTAAATACAATTTGTATTATAAAGGTACTTTAATACCTACACAGAAAACATAATGCAAATTTATAAAAACTTCAATAATTAGTTCAAAACCGACAGCTAAACTTGAAATACGAGACTTCTAACCGCCGGGAAATAACGACAACTTCATAAATTAACTGTCAAATTAAACGAACGTAACTTTTGATTCAACCCGGCCTTAGTATGTCAAACTCGCGTGGCCTTGTAACTCTGATGATAAACTGCAACCTAATGTTTGCGAACTATGGAGTGATGAATGAATGTAATTTGATCAAATAGTTTCCCAGTTTTGTTAATATAAAAGTTTCTGGATTAGAATACAATATAGTACCCTAGAAAGCATTTTGTAAACATGGCTTAGAAGTGACATGTAATTTTTCAGACAGGTATTAGAGGTATATTATTTTTTGTTGTATCGATGGGGTTTCTTGCTCGCTCTTCACCATTGAAAACTACACTATGAGACGAGCACCTAGCTTCACTGACAGTTCAATTTGACGTTTTAAAAGTTATTTTTTTTATAGCAAAAGCCGGTAAACGAGCAGACGGATCACCTGAATCAATCGGCGCCGCCCATGGACACTCGAAATACCAAGGCGTTACAAGTGCGTTACCGGCCTTTTGGGAATTGGGAATTTGAGGATTGTGGAGGATTCGGGGATTCGGGAGACGGGGACTAGGGTAATTGGGCGTCCGGTAACCTCACTCCCACGACGAAACACAACGCAAGCGTTGTTTCACGTCGGTTTTCTGTGAGGCCGTGGTATCACTCCGATCGTGCCGAAGCATGGCTCTCCCACACTTAATTAAGAATTAATTAAAATAAATGCTTTGACTTTGACTTTCCATGCCTCTGGCGTTACTTCTTCGAGCAAGGCGAGGTTGAAGTTCTTCTGAAGGACTTTTATCACAAGGACAAGTTGGAGAGACTCTGGGAAGACTCATCCGATTTCTAACTCTTATTATAAACTGCAACCTTATGTTGGCGAACTATCGAGTAATGAATGAATGTAATTTGATCAAATAGTTCCAAGTTTTGTTAATATAAAAGCTGCTGGATTAGAATACAATTGAGTTTTGTTCCTTTGTTTTACTCTAAAATTGGAATTGAATATATCGGGTTTAATTGTACGTTTTTTGTTTATTCGAAAACTGTTGTATTGTTGTACTGTTGTACTGTGTATTCGAAAAATTGAGAATACCATTTTTTTCAGTTTTAATTTTCAGAGCTTTAGTTTAAAATACTTCTATTTCAGTTGGATTATTTTCTGTATTTATTTTGTACTTTCTGCCTAGATTTATCTTTGTCTGTACGCTGTACAATGTACATATTAATCAATATATGTAATGAACCGTAATTTATCTGTTTACTAATCTCTTCAATCGTTTAACTGGTGTTTAAATGCGTTATCTAGGTTAACTGGAAAGTGTCTGCATTCATATTCAATAAATCAAGTACGTACAAGACTATGTATATGGAACATATCATTTACGCAAATTTTCACTACTTCGAAATTAACAATATGATATACATATCAAACCAATGTCTAAGTTGATTCAAAACCCCCAGTTTTTTTCTATTTACACAGCATATTCGGAATCTAATACAAAATCCGTAGCTATCAGCAAGATCCCACTCCTTAAGTTCCTATACTTCGTTCACTTTCGTATTATGTAGCTCCGGAACGAGTTCAAGGGTATTTTGCTAACAATATTGCTGAAAACTTTGACAACAAACGAATCGGAAGTGAGATTATCCTTTGTACGCATGAGTTGATATCTTCATACGAATACGAGTATCGATTTGTAATCGAGTAGAATATTCTGCGATTAGACTTCTGGAAATCGTTTTGATGATGGATACTTTGGTTTAATGAATTATTGTTTAGTGACTGGTGTTATCATAAGTTAAGTATAAGTCTAATCTAAGTGTAGTTGTTCAAGTATTTGCAAGTGCGTCTGCATGAGTGCGCGAGTGATGTGTCGGGTAAAATAGACGACAAAACAATAAAAAAAACTCTCAGTGTATATTTCCTTCCTTTATTAACCTACAAAAATAACAAGCAAGTTTGTAATTTTACAATTTCTATATATTTCCATTGTTTAAGGGAAAACAATAATTCTTGTGCCATAATTAAACATGGTTTGCTAATATTAACAATAGGTATGAGATGCTCGAAAAACGGAGGGAGAGCGTAACGTCGTCGTGGTCGACCACAAAGTACAGCGTAGGTGGCTTGAAAATTTAGGGGCCTTTTTAGGCTAGATTGCTTTGAAATCAGGATTGCTTTCTGGTTTAGCTAAAGGTCAAATTGTTACTTGTAAACTGATCAGTTTTTAAAAAATACAGGATTAAGAGTTAATTTCATAGTTTGCATTATACAAATAGTACCAATTTGGCGTATGATTAAAATTATGTAGAAAATTTTAAAACGTACCGTCAAAATTAAAGAATTCTGAAGTACACATTTTATTTATTGTCTTTAAGGTTATTTTCTTTTTCGATATCTTTGGCTGGATTTTGGTGTTACATTGTTCTCGCACAATCGAACCAATAAAACTGTGTAACTGGAGAATTGTATTGTGAAACTGATTGGAAAAGAGTAACCTATGGAGTTTCTTGCTCGTTCTTCTCCATAGGAATCTACACCTTGGAATGAGCAAATAGCTTTACTTTTAAATTTCTATTGCTGACGTTCAAAAGTGCCTTCCTGGTCTAAATAAAAAATTATTTTGAAAAATGATTTTGACTTTGACTTTAACAAAGCTAAATGATGAAAAAAAGTGAACTTAATAAGAAAACTTTTAAATAACCTTTTAAACAGAAAAAAATTGAAACAACCAAACTAGGTTACTAAATAACAATTTAGTTCCCCTTATTAAAAGAACACCCGCTGTTCACGTTTGAAATATACCGTGTAAAATACTCCGCGGCCTTGATAATTTATCATAAGGAAGGCTTTAAGATTAGGCCTTAATGGGGCCCATACATTACCCCCCTAGAAGATTCCCGCCCGTGGTTTTGTGACGTCACGACCATGTGACAATGTGGAAAGAGGGCTGTGAAATTTTTATCTCTAATGTCGGAGATTATGCTCCTATTAAGAGCATATTTTAAGAGCTTGAAGACAGTTTTAATGGATCTATTAAAGTCTTGTAAGATGTGTGGAAGCGTGGAGTTTGTTTGTTCCATTTGGCAATGGAGTGTATGAAGACAGGGATTGTATTGTTGGATAGTGAACTAGTTCTGAATTTATCGCAGTTTCTCTATTTTCTTGCCTCGATAAAAACATCTTTGTAAATATCACATTTTACTTCGCGATGTCTCATTAATCTAGTGGTCTCGAGTTAAATTATTATCGGCTTAAAAAAATATATTTCTGTTGATAACACAATAGATGTCTAAATCCGTATAGGTATCTAAATTGATTATTTAGTTTTATTAAAATGAATAAAATATTGTCAACGAACAAAACAGTTCGCATACTACATTTAGTGCATTACATTTCATCAAAATGTTCACATAAATTTTATCGTTTACATTGAAACGCTATTGAAACAGTATTATTTTATAATGTTCAGACATGTCTAGACGAAGCAGTAAAACACGATGTTTTCAGTATGTTCTGTTTTAAATTGATTTTGCTACAGTTAGGTATAAAATTAAATAAAGTTAATAATTTTATCAAAATGACATTCAGTAAAAATCACCTTTATCACCTTATAATTATTATTGAAGGCTTCATTAATTTATTATTTATTAAAAGAAATTTTTATTTCCAGGAACCGACTTCAAAAAAGGAGTGTTTTAGTTTGATTTGAATGTTTGTCCGCGATTATCTCGTACTATGTAGGTATGTGTATGAATGTATGTATTATGACTACTTTATTTATTTTCTTAGTACACAACCCGTCTAATTGACGTCCCGTCGACGACCCGTCTAATGACTGCACGGTTGGTGCGGTGGCTGGGCAACCGGCTGCCGTGCAACGTGTCGCGGGTTCGATTCCCGCACGGAACAACACTTTGTGTGATCCACAAATTGTTGTTTCGAGTCTGGGTGTCATGTGTATGTGAACTTGTATGTTTGTAAACGCACCCACGACACAGGAGATAATCCTAGTGTGGGGCAACGCTTTTTAAATAAAAAAAAAGAATGTTTCTTTTCACTATATCCACCCAAAGGTTGTCTGGTAGAAATCACTATAAGTGATAAGACCGCCTTTGTGCCCATTATTATTATTCTTTATGTTTGTCATTTCCCTTTCTGTATGTACTATATTATTAATGGTGTACAATTAAGTTATATTCTATTCTCTTCTATCTCGCAATTATCTGAACTGATTTTGATGCAATTTTCAGAGAAGTGTTTGCTACACTTAGGAATAGGTTTTAGTACAATCGACTTTATTAATAACCAACCATAATAAAAGGACATTGAATTCGGGTTTTTTACGTATAAAGTGTTCTTTTTGACCGACTTACAAATATTTAATTCAGATTTCATCTTTCACAGTTAAATACAACTTTTAGAATTAACCCAGTTACGTTACAATTTTACTACAAAGACGCAACATGTTCATTACAAAGGAGTCAAATGTCTACTGAGAAACATTGACGAAATTCAAATCTAAATGCCTTAGAAGTTGGAAGCCCTCTTAGATAAAACTTTACAGTTAATATCAGAGTCTGATAGCTGTTTAATTGGACATATAATACGCTGGTACCATTTTGAAGTAAACGAGCCCAGAAAGGGCTTAAAACTTGTGATTAGTGGTGTAGATTAGGGGAATGCTGTGAACAGATTCAAAATTATGTTAAGATTGTGTGACTTTTGACTTCTATAAAATAATTGTTTTATAACTTCGGCTTAAAAAACCGACTTCACCTCTTCTTTTGTCCTTTTTCTCATCGTCAACAACCTATTAATGCTCACTGCTGATCAAGGCCTCTTCTCATATGGAAAAGGTTGAGCATTACTCACCACGCTTGCTCAATACAGGTTGGCGAACTAAAACTTAAAAATTAGAAATTATAGCCCAGGTTTCCTCACGATGTTTTCTTTCACCGTTTATAAGTGGTGTCTAAATAATGTTAGAAAGTACATATAACTCGGAAAAAGTCACATTGGTACTTGTCGTTGGTAGGTTTTGAACCCGCACCCTCATGCATGAGAAGCGGGCCTCTTTAACCTCCGGGCCACCACGGCATAATAAGTCAAAGTGTGTAACCCGTGATTTTTAGATCATTTAGTATGTTTTACGATAGTTATTATAGAAACAAAGTCAAGGTATTGCTGGTACCTTGTGTAGTGTCAAGGAAATTGTGCCCGGTAGGCGCACCCCGCGCCTATTACCATATACATGGGACACATAACAGAAATAGTGAAAAGTGGGTGTTACATTGTACAGTGGCATTAAGTGCACTACCCCTTCGGAGATAAAAAGGCGTGATGTTATGTTGTTATTATTATATGGTTAATGAAAACCGCTATACATATGTCACTTACCGATAGGTATAATAATAGTCACCTCATTTTAAGTCTTATTTTTAATAATTACCAGTTTTTTTTTTCAATTTTCTTCATATAATATTTCCTTGAGTTCGCTTATACAACTGAAAGTAATGGAGGACTATTTCCAGCAGGCTATGTTTAAGTTATTTTAGTATCAACGTGCTAGAAATGCATTATGGAGCTTGTAAACTGTAGACTTATTGTCGCTCTTGCTGTGTGCTCTAAAAGATTGTGAAGTTTATGTCTTTCTTTTGTTTAGAGCGTTGCAGTGTTACAAGTCTACTTGTGAACTTAAAAATGTCCTTTGAGGAAAAGATTCGTTTTAAACGGAGTTCATTATTAAAGCCGATTTTTAATCTTTACCAAAACGTCCATGTAATCGTATTTATGAAGAACATAACATTTATTTTTCACAATTTTATATAAAGATAACATAACATCACCATGTATCCCCGAAGGGGTAGGTAGAAGTGCACATTATGCCACTGCACAATGTAACACCCACTTTTCACTATTTATGTTATAAGTCCCATGTAATAGGGGGTGAGCCTATTGCCATATACTCGGCACAATTCTAGACTCCGTGCTACTACTGAGATTTTTCAAAACCCAGTAATACTTTGCTCGACCTGGAATACTTTATAGGTCGACGTTTGACCACCATCTCGCCTGATGGTAAACGATGATATTATTATTTATGATCTATATTTTATTAAACGCTAGCAGGAGAACGCCCTAGTACAAGATTTACTCTTGTATCGTAAGTACGCATCATCATCATCAACAGGCTATAAGTGTCGACTGCTGACCAAAACCCTCTTCTCAAATGGAGAAAGTTTGAGTATTAATAACCACGCCACTACACCAATGCGTTTGCACAAATATACAATATCACATACACATTATGCCCGGACCCAAATCAAAGAACTGCAAAAGACTACAATTGCATAGGACATGTTCTTATTAAAACTCTCAATTGCTAAAAAAACGTTTATATACTCCATTATTTTTCCCTTAATTTTTATATTACAAATTAAGACTAGATACTACTAGATTAGTATACTGAAGATCAGAGTATTATAGGTAAATCTCAGCCTATACCTTTGGGAAATACTAGGCGTAATGTTTAAGTATGTTACGCACGAACGCGAACCGTAATGTTCTCCCAGTTTATTACCTTATAGTTAGTTTTATGTAACATAACATTACACATGTATTCCCTAAAGAGGTAAGCAGAAATGTGGTATCAACAATGTTATTAGTCAAGTCATAACTTTCTTTATAATACTAGGTACTAGCTTTAACCCGCGGCTTCGCTCACGTCACAAAAGGATAAAAAGTAGCCTATGTGACATATACCAATACATACAGCACCATCTATACCAATACTTTTGTTTTTCCTCGGGAATATAAATTTTTTCCGGGTTAAAAAGTACCCTATTATTTAATCCGGACTTCTAACTTTACGTCT